AAAAAAAAAAAAGAGGGGGGAGTGATAATGACTTTTAGGAAACAGCACTTCTCCATGCCAGGAAGCAGCCACGGGCATCACCTGAGAAAACAGGCAAAAGGGGGCGGCGGGTGGTCTCCCCGCCAACGATGCAACCTGTGGCAGGAAGAAGGCGGATACAGACGTGCGGGGACCTGAAAGGGCTTGCCCAGAGCTTGCTGCTGCTGCTGCTGCTGTTCTCGCCACTAGGGGGAGACCGGGAACCGCAAATGGGGTCGGAGGCGCACACGCCGCCCCTGTACAGTACTGACCGTGTCGGGAGTGACCGGTAGGGGGAGCCCGGTTTGGGAAGGGCTCCCGACCTGGTGTCCTCGGGAGGGGGCAGAGGCTGCCACCAACTCCTGGCCTCCCCCGGGCAACTAACTGGCGAGGAGGGCGGTAAAGGGAGTGGGGCTTCAACCCAGCTGGAGGGCTGAGGAAGTGGGTGCGACTCCACTTGCAGATGGAGTTTCAGAAAGACAGAAACACACACACATCAGAATTGTTTTTTTTTTAAAGACTTAATTCGAATTGCCTACCAGACACCACCACCGTGCCAACAAAGATCCACATAGTCAAAGCTGTGGTTTTCCCAGTAGCCTGGCCTGGTGTGCTCTGGTCCATGGATGGGGTCGTGAAGAATCAGACAGGACTTAACGACTAAACAACAACAACCAGACCTGATTATAGCATTAGGCTTCAGAGCCCAATGAATAAATGAGAGAATTTCAAAGTGGAGCCTTTTAAAGCTTGCTTATTTGCGGTTGCTTGTATGCCACAGATTTGGGGCTGCTGCTCTGAAACAATTTTAACTGGATTTTTTTTTGCTAGTTATGATGGACATTATAGTCGAAAAAAGCGACTTTTCCAAGTTCCCACTGTGTGAAATGGGCTTCATACTGTATATTATTCATACACATTAAAGCGTGCGGCTTATATGCTGCCCCATCGTGCTCAAAGCACTCTCTGGACAGTTTATGACATAAGTACTCAAACAACACTTCCCCTTATCCAGCAAGCTGGGTAATTCAATTTAGTGACCTTGGAAAGAGGGAAGGCGGAGTCAACCCTGAGCTGGCTACCTCAAACTCAGCTGATGAGCAGAGTCTTGGCTGCAGGACTGCAGATTAACCAGTGCAACATGAATGGTAATATGACTCCCCGTTATTACATGCCAGTCATACACATTTGCTGAAAAGTTCTTCTCATGGATGGTTTGGGACACACCCGGGTCCATCCATGGCAGCCCTCCCTACCACCCTTGTTAGGCAAGCCATCACGTCTGCCATGGATTAGGAATTGCTTTAAGTGACTATATTATGCTGTCACACCCATCAGGCGTGACCTTTGGTTAGAAATCACATCTGTGCAACCACTAGCTGCATTAGCACTGTCTGGGACTTTCTAGGTAGGCAAAACCCTGAAAATTGAGAGGAACATTCACACTCCAAGCAACTCTCTAACTCTGGCTTAGGAAACATCCAGGTTCTTAGCTTTCAGATCCCAGAAGCCCCACTTAGTGGGAAAGGATTGTGGGAATTGTAGTCCAAACACCTGGCAGGGGAAAGGTTTTCTCATCCAGCTCTTGCTATCCCAATTTTAATAACACCTTCGTTATGAAGGCTGTGAGCCCATACGCAGGGCCAAGTGCCACAGACCTCAGGAGGATTTACTCCACATGCACAGAATTCCACTGTAAGGGGGGCACATTCATTACCAATATAAAAATAGGACATTTATGACTTAGCCATGGGTCTGAGACAGAGTAGACCTACTGGATTGTATACACTTGTATACACAACGGTTGGTTTGCCATTCAAGCAGTTGATCTGATGACTCTCTTTGGAGTAACAATTAGATTTAGCCGTATATATCTTTGAAGAACGGCACAAGATTATTTGGAAAACAACAAAACTATCGTTATGAAGGGATTTCAACTTCTGCAGAAGTTTTTGCTCAAATATGGGCAAAATTTATATTCGTGCCAGACAATATAATGTTTATTCGCCTCCACTCTGTTTTTCAGGCTTAAGGATAACAGAAAAGTTGTTGCAGGCTAATTAGATAGCTGCATCTTATTTGTTTTAAAAATAAAAGGCCTTGTGGCCTCTTACAGATGAACACATTTATTCTGGCACAAGAAAAGCTGTTTTTCCCCCTACTGCAAGCACTTTGGAAATTATTTATTTTAAGCATTTCTATACAGCTTCCTGTCTAAGCAGCACTCCCATGATGTTTACACATCAAAACATTAATATACTGTATAATAACAGCATCATCATAAAATGATAAAAGCCATGCAGGAATCACTTGTGGAAAACACCTTGACTGATCATTACAACTGAAACATGTTGGGCCAATGAAGCACAATCATGCATGCCAACTCAAAAGTAAGTCTTACTCATTTTGGCAGGGCTCCCTTACATTAGGGTAGATGCATTTTGAATTTTCCACTAGGGAAATGCATCAGAAACTTCCTGATCAAACCAAAATCTCAACCATGTTTACACAAGCCTTCCCCAACACAGTGCCCTCTGGGTGTGGCAGACGACAGATCTCATCATCCCCAGCCAACAGAACCTTCAACAGATCTGAAGGACATTTTTCTGGAGAGAGTCAGTTTACATTGATTCACAGCCAGTTCTCTGGGAATTTTTGTTTCAACAGGTTTTTTTTAGTTTTGGTACCCCCTGCCCCACCCCGCCCCCACAATCCTATCTGGAAATGCTGAAGACTGGATTCAGGATCTCCAGCTTGGAAGGGTCATGCTCAGCCTATCCCGCTCTTCTCCCAGCATAACCTCTGAGCATGAGCAGATTGCCTCTCTCTCACTTGCAGGCAGATGCATTTAGGGAGAGGAAGAGCCTGGAGGGTTAATGGAGAGAAGAGCCAACGCGTACCAGAGGCAAAAGAAAAGCACTTGTTCCTTCCCACCCCTACAAAAATACTGATTTACTGAACAGCAATGCAACCCACCCATCCCAATTCTACCCTCTAGAAAACAGTTTCATGTTCTTCTTAATCGCAGTCAGTACTCACAATTCCAGCTCTCTCAAACACTGAAGACATCTAGGGAGATCTGTCCCAGAAACTAGGGTGGAGGCAGGAAATTAGCATGCTGCTTCAGCCTGGCTAAATGCCTTTTGCCAGACCGAGCATGCGTACACTTTGTCTTACTGAATTCTCTCTTTCTCTCTCTCTCTCTCACGTGTGCACACACACACAGAGACATATACACTCTCGCACGCAGCAAAACATAAATCTGCCGTATGGAGTCAGATCATGAGTCCAGGGATGGAGAACTACAAGTCCCAGGACCAAAGCCAGCCCAGCTGGGATGCTTCTGTGAACTTCTAGGGGTCCCCCAGGTAGCCACGAGGCTTTCTGCATGAGGCCATCTCTGGTGGTGGTTTCCCATCTTTGGTACAGTTCTCCCCCTCATTTCTTGAGAGAGAAACACCTCTGTATGGCTTAGGCATTGGTCCCAAGGGCTTAAACTAGAACAGATCAGTATTTGGGTCCCGTCCGTTTGTCTTCAGCCCAGACCGCCCCTGGAACACAATCCTGCCTCAGCTTCTCTGCAATGGAATCTGGCCCTCTGGCTGGAAGAGATCCCTCACTTGTGATCTAGCTCGTGATTATCAACCTACTGTGTGGTGGTTCTTCTCCTCTTGAGGTGTAAAGATTTGAGAGGGCTTTATTTGGACGACAACAACCAGAATTGCCCAGGCAGCATAGCTGTAACTTGGGCACGGTAGTCACCCTTCTTTTCTCCATGCAGCCTTTTCCAAGATCTACCTGGAAGTTTTAGGGATCGAGCGCAGAGCCTTCTGCATGCCCTCCCCTCCTCCCCAGACCTGGAAACAAATGGCAGGAGTTCTCAGCAACTCCAGGACTCTCTCTTTAAACAGCCTTTCAAGCAGAAGAGTGAGGAAACGGTTTTAGGGAAAGGTCGCCAGGGGCAGCCCTACCTTTTGGCAACATGAGGCCGTTGCCTCGGGAGGCGGATGCTGCATGGCGCACGCATAGGGTTGGGCACTGTCCCGTTGCCAGTGCTGAATGGAAGGGACATCTCGTTTTTCTCCTTGGTAGGAAAATGTTTTCGGGTCTGGTCTGCCGCAGTTATCGCCACCACCCTTGGCTGAAGATTCTCAAGACTGGGGCTGAGAGAAAACAGGGTCCATGGAATCCTATTCATTTTGGTAGGGCTTTCAGGTGTGCACCCTTTGATCATAACTGGATGCCACCTGGCCCTTGGCACCCTGGGTGTCAAAATCCTTCCTGCTCCATTTGCAGAGCGGTCGAGTCTCCTGCTTGCTCTCCCTAATGAAGCCACCAGCCGCCCAGAAGCAGCCTTGTTAGTCTTGTTAAGCCAACTGTTCCTACAAGAAGAACTGTAGAAACTGTGGGCAGTCCTGAATGCCCACTTGTGGATGATGTGCTTTGCTGAGAAGGAAAGAAACTTTCCTCAAACACATCTGCAGCCCATTTCGAAGACCCGAAGCAGCAAAACAGACAGAAATAAGCCACTGAAGAAGCATAAGACCATCCCTTGTGCGTCACAAGGAATGAGTTTATGTTCTATTCTATTCTATTCTATTCTATTCTGTTCTATTCTATTCTGTTCTATTCTATTCTATTCTATTAATCTGAGAACAGCAGAGCTGGAAGGGAACCTATGGATCATCAAGTCCAGCCTCTTAGGGGGCTCGGTGGGGAATCAAACTCCCTGCCTCTGGTTCCACAGTCAGATACCTAAATCACTGAGCTACCCATGGACTACGGCTTCCATCATCAGCCTTAGCTGACATGGCTAATGGTGAAGGAGGGTGGAAGCGACAGCCGAGCATCTGGAGTGCCACCCCTGTTCGGCATGAATACACAACTTGTTTGTGTGCTCCCAATCAGCCACTTCTAAGCCCCCTAGTTTCCTGCTCCCCCTTTTCAGATCCCATTCCCACCCGTTCCTTTTCAGGACCTACCTCTATATATGCCATCTTCAGCAGACTTTGTACGAGTTCCTGGCGTGTTCCGACCATGTCGTCCCTCCTTTTCGCCCTCCACGATCAGCACAGAAGCGGCCTGCTTGTTCCCCGAGGTTGATTGTCCCTTCTTTTGTCCCATTCTCTCCCTCTCTCTCCCTCTCTATCTCACATGCACACTTAAACCCCCTTGCTCATATAACTCATATGCATGTATGCACATTCACACACTCTCACACTTTTCTGCACATGGCCGCACTCCCACACATTCTCTCTCTCTCTCTTACACGCTTGTGCACACACTCTTCTGGGCTCTCAGACACTCACATTCAGGCATCAGCTGTTTGGTGTCCCTTCCTGTTCGCTTCTCCAGATTTCTTCTCACACTTGAATTTAGACTCATGGTTTTTTTCTCCTCATATTCATTGCCTGCCATGCCAGACTCGCAGCTTTCTTCTCTGGGAAGGAGAGGCTTCTCCCCCTTAGCCTGTCACTCACTGGCATGCTTTATTTATATATATTTGCTCTTCTCTTCTTTCTTGTGTTTGGCAAGTGACAAATTTCCCCAGCTTAGTTATGCAGGAGCTGGCTATCAGCATCTTGTGCATTTTTAGTGACTTGGGTTCTTTTCTCTCAGTGCATTTTTGCTTAATTCTTTTTTCATTAATAATAATCAATTAAAAACCCCAGTGATGTAATCTGGAGGAAGCATCTCCTGGAAGCGGAAGCATCCATCTGTCTGTCAGCAGATGGAGAAGTTGCCAAATAGCAACACGTAGGAGAGTCCCTGCATAAAAGCCAGTGCGCGGAATTTTTTTTTAAAGGGAATTATCAACAACCACACAGGTGGAAAAACTGGCTCTTGCAGAAAATGTTCATCATAATACAGCTGACTGAGAGTGATCAGGGCATGAGGTCTATAGAAAGGCAAGCAAACACTAAAGGAAGGGCTCCCTCAAGAGAAACACTCACACAGGGACACCAATCAAAGATCTAAAAACCAGACACAGAAATTCCCAAATAAAAAAACTCATAAATAGTCAAACATATATCATTCTAATGGAAGACATGCAAAACGTAAGAGCAAAGGAACAGATGTAAATGTACATATGTATAAGGCAGCAGATAATAAAAATCAGCCCAGCAAGATGAAGACATTGTATAGAAAGAGAGCAAACAAGTGGTCCAAGGGAACAATTTGAATTGCAAAATAAAATAACTGTGAAGGTGGCCCCAGATAGAGGAAGATACCGGGGGCACCCAGTTTATGAGCTGACCCTGGCTGCTAAGAGTGGGGTTCGCAGCCTGGGAGTACACCTGGACCCGACGCTCGCCATGGAAACCTAGGTGGCGTCGGTAGTTCGCACCGCCTTTTTCCACCTTTGGCGGATTGCCCAGCTGCGACCCTGCCTTGACATGGGGGCGCTCATTACCTTGGTACATGCGCTCGTAATCTCAAGATTAGACCACTGTAACATGCTCTACGTGCGGCTGCCTTTGAGGCTGATGCGGAAACTTCAAGTGGTGCAGAATGCAGCGGCCAGACTCCTTACTGGAGTGAGAAAATACCAATATATCTCTCCTACTCTGGCCATGCTGCACTGGCTGCCCATCCGTTTCCACATTGAATTCAAAGTTCTAATGCTTACCTATAAGGCCCTAAACGGTTTAGGACCGCGATACTTGGCGGAGCGCCTACTCCCACCAAGATCTACTCGGATCACCCACACGAGTCAGGAGGTGAGGCTGAGGAGCCTGACGCCGAGGGAGGCCCGGAGGGAAAAAAACTCAAAGCTGGGTATTCTCAGCGGTGGCTCCTCGCCTTTGGAACAACCTTCCTCCGGAGATTCGCGAGGCCCCTACGCTCGGTATTTTCAAATGCCAGCTGAAAACATGGATGTACATCCAGGCCTTCCCTCCTGTCAACTACTGATTTCTTTTGCTTTGCTATTTATTATTTATTCATTCCTGCACTATTTATTATTATTGTATGCTAATGTTTTTATGTTTTTTAATTATTTTGATACTCTGTAAGCCACCCAGAGTGGTAGAATATACCAGATGGGCAGGATATAAATCGAACAAATAAATAAATAAATAATGTTGGGAGGCCTCACTTCTTGTTATAAACAGCAACATAACTTCAATTCTGTTTCATCCTTAAATATGATCTGTATGGACGCTACATGTTTCTCAGCCTTGGGTCCCCAGATGTGCTTGGACTACAACTCCCAGAAATCCTGGCTAGCACAGCTAGTGGTGAAGGCTTCTGGGAATTTTAAACCAAGAACATGGAACCACTGACATAAGGAAAGGGGCAGTCCTAGTAACTCAGTCTTAAACTATGAGGCGTTTATTAAGTAAGAAACATTGCTTGGATGAGTTGCTTCTTTGGACCACAACTTTGGACTACCACTTTGTGAACATGTTTGGACTAAAAGAGTTTCCTGATCATTGCTCCAGCCCATCATCTCCTGGTTGGAGAAGGAATTCTGATAGTTGTACGCTAAACCAGTCAAACACAAAACGAACATTTTGACCAATTCCAGAAAGTTCACTTTCAAGTAGCATGCATGGATGCAGCAGTCTGATGGCAGAAGCTTCCGCAGCCTACCTTAGGTCCACAAAATGCTATTCTCTGTGGGCAGATGATCAATACAAAGAAAATATAATGAGTTGTGGGGCAGAAGGCTGTCAGAACAACAGTGGGGCAAAAGGCCATTAAATCCAAGAGGTGTAGTCTGTGACATTTCCACACAACCCCCAAGTATATTCACAGTGCAATGCCTGTATTTGGTGACTGCACCATCTTCCGCCTTTGCTGTGCTAAATTTATTGAAAAAAGATTTATAGGGAAGTATGAAAGGAAAGATCACCTAAATGCAAGATAAAATAGACTGCACTAATTATGGCTTGGAAACGGGGATGAGCACCGCCCCCTAGAGTCGAACACGACTGGACAAAAATTGTCAAGGGGAACCTTAACCTTAACCTATGAAAGGAAAGATCATCTAAATCCAAGATAAAATAGACTGCACTAAAGATAAGAACTTTTTAAGAGCGAACCAGCCTGCTCCACCTTCTCCCATATGGATGTGCCCAAGGTTTGTTTTCCACAGCTGCTACTTTCTACTTGCTTCACCTTGCATACATGCTAGATTAGTGGGAATGGCAGTAAATTTAAATTACAAACTAGAAGGACTCACTTAGCTATGTTTCCCTAACAGTCAAGGGCATGAAAAACTCCTTGTGGACTAGAATATGGTGATTTAGATTTGACGATGAAGTAAATGATTCCAGCCCTAAACAGCAGCTGACTAAGCTAGATTAGTGGGAATGGCAGTAAATTTAAATTACAAACTAGAAGGACTCACTTAGCTATGTTTCCCTAACAGTCAAGGGCATGAAAAACTCCTTGTGGACTAGAATATGGTGATTTAGATTTGACGATGAAGTAAATGATTCCGGCCCTAAACAGCAGCTGACTAACCTTTAGAGGACAAAATGTAGAATCTTCCAGTAGCCCAGTGCTCTTCAGCCCTCCTTATCTACTTGCATTTGGATGCCTTTGAACCGCTAGGTTGGCAGGAGCTGGGACAAGCGACGGGCGCTCACTCCGTCGCGTGGATTCAATCTTACGACTGCTTGGTCTTCTGACCCTGCAGCACAGGCTTCTGTGGTTTAGCCCGCAGTGCCACCACGTCCCTTTTTTGCTATTCTAGTTTGTGGTAAATGCCATCTGTAAAACATTTTGTTTACATTTTTTTATATGTGGTTGCTAAGGTTAATTTACAATTATCACTCCATAAAGTTTGGGTGGCAGGTAATCTCATAGCCCCTAGTACTACTAGGGCTTCACCCCTGCAATCCCTAGTTCCTCTATACCAGTGGTCCTCAACCTTGGGCCTCCAGATGTTCTTGGACTTCAGCTCCCAGAAATCCTGGCCAGCAGAGATGGTGGTGAAGGCTTCTGAGAGTTGTAGTCCAAGAACATCTGGAGGCCCAAGGTTGGGGACCACTGCTTTAGAGGACAAAATGTAGAATCTTCCAGTAGCCAAGTGCTCTTCAGCCCTCCCTTTGTAGTAACATGAGGCAATAAAGCACAGATACAGAGTTGTAGGTTTTTTTAAGACATGCAGCCTTAACTCAAGCCGTTCTTAAGTCAAGACCCCACTGTAACATGAGGCAATAAAGCAAAGATACAGAGTTGTAGGTTTTTTTAACACATGCAGTTGGACACAAAATGTGTAGCTGGAAAGGGATACAGATCATCTCAGAAGAAACTGGGTGACTTCCAACTGCACAATTTTTAAAAAGGCCCTGCAAAATGTATATACCTGTTCAAAAATATGTGTGCTTTATATCTAATATTTTATCAATTGTAATGGATAAATTGCATTTGCACTAAATCGTTTTAGTGATATGTAGCGTAAGGGCTGTAGCCTGGAAAAGGTGCTTCTTAGAATTAGAGGTCCCGGCTTTTCCAGCCAGCGTGGTAGTGATAGGAGCTGAGCTCATCTTGTGGGATTCATTCCAGGTAATTTCAACTGCAAAACTATTTCCACATTAGAGCTGAGCAAGGACGGGTGGTGGCAATTATTCACCCTGTTTTGGGGAGACAACAACCTGGAAGGAGGATACAGTTCTTTTTGCTATATAGTCTTAAAAGTCGGAGACTCCAATTAATGTCACCTATCATCTGCCTGCCTGCCTGTCCATTGCATTTATAGACTCTCATCTACTTACTCAGGGTGGCTTACAACAGTTAAAACACTCCAGAAATGAAAACAGACAAAAAAATAAAAATAAAGAAATTAAACATGATAGGCCAATCATAGGGGGAAGATATTCTTAAAGCCCTTCTTAAAGAGCATAGTTTTAACATGTGTCATGAAGGACAGGAGGGAGAGCAAATGCTTTCCAGCACATCACGGCCATCACTGTGTAAGGAGGAAGAAACGGCTACAGAGAATCCAATGTCTTCCAAGGAAGACTCAACATTCCTTAGAGATAAGCTGCTCTGCGCATGGGTAACTAACTGCTTTGCTGAAATGTGAGAAATTCTAACCAACAAGGATATATTCCTCAGGGATCAATCAACTGCTGCATACTTTTGTTCTCTTTTTAAGAACTGTATAAAAACTTGAACCCTGTTGATCTCGGGGTCTCCACCCTGCTGGGCACCCAAGGGCGAACTTGTTTTACCTGAATAAACCTGTTGCCCTTTCCTCCAAGAATCTGTCCGCTTATTATTATTATTGCTCGAGACTTGGCTTAATAGAATTAGCTAAGACACGGAGCTCCGGGAGTAACAACTGAAAGGCCCAGTTCTTGGTGGCCATTTTCCGGGCCTTCCTCATCAAAAGAACAAACCCA